TGGAATTAATTTGCAAACTGGATACAATTAACTTATGCTTGAATAGAGACTGGGAATGGATGGGTCATTACACAAAGTAAAACTATATCCCACCCCCCACTGTTCCTCAGACGTTCCTGTCAACTGCTGGAAATGGCCCACCTTGATTATCACTACAAAAGGTTCTTCTTCTCCCCCACCCCTTTAATAATAATAGCTCACCTTACCTGATCACTCTCCTTACAGTGTATACGGTAACACCCATTGTTTCATGTTCTCTGTGTATATAAATCTCCCCACTGTATTTTCCACTGAATGCATCCGATGAAGTGAGCTGTAGCTCACGAAAGCTTATGCTCAAAGAAATTGGTTAGTCTCTAAGGTGCCACAAGTCCTCCTTTTCTTTTTGCGGATACAGACTAACACGGCTGCTACTCTGAAACAGGTCTGAGACAGTATCATTCCATGCCCATGGGGGGGGGGGGGTATAAATTGGAGTCCGTGACATCAGCCCCATGCTTCTCTCCTTCCCCACCTAATCTGAAGGCAACAAGAATGTTTGGAAGAAATGACTGAACTGGAGAGATTGGTCCCAGGCTGAGCAAAGAATTCAGCTTGTGTATTAAGAACTGTAACCTGCTTATAACGCCTAGTGGGGTGACAAAAATTGCTGGATTCAAATCTTGCTTCGTCTGATAAAGTTTGAATTTAGACTGAGATTTTATTTTTATTTCTTATGTAACCAACTTTGACCTATATGCCTACCACATAAAATCTATCTTTCTGTAGTTAATAAACTTATTTTAATGTCTTAGCCTTACCAGTGAGTTTTTCTAACGTGTTTGGGGAATCTGCTCTGATTACAAAGGCTGGTGCGTGTCTGCTATCCTTTGCCAAAGTGGTGAATTAATTAATGAGCTTGCATTGTTCAAGAGAAGGTCTTGAGCAGTGTAAAATGGTACATTTCTGAAGTGCAGGGCTGGTGGTTGGGGATATTTACTGGTGTCTCTCCCTGTGTATAGCTCATGAGTGGCTTAGAGAGCATTCAAGCAACTTAGCTGGGCATGCCTCTGTATGCTGTTGGCTGAGTGATCGCAGCCCCTGGAGGTGTTTGCAGCTTGTCACTTGCATAGCACTGTAAGAAACAGCCCATGGAGGAGTGTTAAGGCGGCACAGCGGTCCCACAGTTCCAGGTTGTATCCCAGGGGTATGTGAGACCCTTCTGGCCTTAAACTCTATGAATTTACAAAAAAAAGACCAAACCATAACCAGCCACTGGCACAAATGTGCCCTCTTTAGCCAAGATGAAGAGCCTGAGCTCAGCAGAGATGGAAGTGATCAATTCACAAGCTGTGTGCTTGCCCACTCAAATGAAACACTTCCTAAACCAACAACTGGCCTACAGCAGCAATGAGGAACTACCAGCTAGTCTACTGCTTGCAGCCTGTACAAAGAGATACCAGGAATAACCCTAGTTTACCATTCTGCTCCCCACCTATCCAGACACGTACATGGCCCTCATCTTTGCAATGGCTGAGCACTTAGGAACTGTCACTGTTTCTGCTCCACGCATGATTCCTTATTACACTCTTGTCTTTGTCTCCATGGCTTCCTGCCATATAGGCCACCCCCACTCCCTGGACCTTCTCCTTGACCCTACCTGCTATTCCTCCTCAAGATGCTTCTTTGAGACCTTTAACACACAGACTGTGTCTTTGCTCAAAAAAGAGTTGCTTAGAAAAAGCACATTTTATTAACCTATGCAACCAGGCTTTGATCTTACTGCTGTAACCCTTGCCTTCTCTCCCCACCCACCCCCAGTTTATCATCTCCCATACTGTCATAACACTGGTTGTAAGCTCTTCAGGGTGAGCAGCCACTGCAAAGCTCCAGTTGCATTTACATCACCATATAATGATACGGTAGTTCAGTTCTCAATGAATTCCTGAAGGCTCCATGTCTGTCTTGAGGCATACGGCCTTGGGGAGACACTGCTGCGCAGTCAGCGATGTGGCCTCAAAGCACTGAGCTGATTTTTACCTGAAACTAGCAGACATTCTCCCAAACAAAATTGTCTGCAACGGACTCAACCAGACTTTGAAAGTTTACTTCCAAGTTAGGCAATTATAAGTTACTGTATAACACAGCTTGTTGAACTAACTCCTCAGACTTGTAGGGTTTTGCGCCATTTCATACCAACCCACAGGCTTGCAGTCTCCCGCGAGGGTTTGCTAGGCAACCTCTATCTCCTCCAAAGAGACTCCCCAAGGTCCATATGGGCCCCATGAAGTATTCACTCTGTGACAGTTTACAGCTTGTTCTGTGCTGCACCAACTTGCCTAAAGAATGCAAGCACCTGAGGCCAGGAGTCACTTGACGCAGTTATCCACTGTACAGGACTTGCTGCACTCTGATGCTTGTGATGAAAATCTACAAATGGCTCTGCTGTTATCCAGCACGGCGGACCTCCCAGTTACAATGCACTGCTCTGAACTAGCTAGCATTTATGCAACAACCCCCCTCATTAAACAGAATCAGAACTGCTCAGCTATGGGTCTTAGCCCCTACTCTGCTGACAATGAATGGAGAGTCTCCTATGCTTTTGGTACTGGAGCACCTGAATTTTCCTCCCACTATCCCATAAAGCTCCCAGTTGTCACATGTCTAGCCCCAGACAATCTCAGGTGTGTGATGGCACAGATCATAGAATCTCAGGGTTGGAAGGGACCTCAGGAGGTCATCTAGTCCAACCCCCTGCTCAAAGCAGGACCAATCCCAATTTTTGCCCCAGATCCCAAATGGCCCCCTCAAGGATTGAACTCACAACCCTGGGTTTATCAGGCCAATGCTCAAACCACTGAACTATCCCTCCCCACCCCCTGCCCCAATAGCTTAATAGCTCTTCCCTTGTGCAATTTAGTGCTTAAAGAGTTGCTTTTGCCATCAATCAATAAAAGCAGCCAGTGTTTGGTTATTCCATGTTGTCCTGAGATGCAAGGTTTGGTTTAACCTACGTTTAGGGTGTTTCTACATCAACATTATAAAGCTGTATGTATGTGGCCAGTGCCACAACTTAAGCTGGGTTAGAGACACAGCTCCATATGACACCTTCAGAGAAACAAACCTAAGCGAAGAAAAGGGTTAAGATGAGCAGAGCAGAGTTACTGGGCAGGAGCCCACTACTTGGGCTGCACACCAAAGTAATCTTACTGCTGTGATGCAAGTTATCACATGAGACACCATCACTGCCAGCTCCTGAGCAAGTCACAAGAAATGGCAGGCAAAATAGCTAGAGGAAAAGCCTACAAAATGTAAACACTGGAAAAGGTTCACAAGAGAACAGCAGTATGGTACATTTGTTACTGTTGCTAAAATAGCACCCAGGGACCTCAAAATCAGGGGCCAAGTGTGCTAGGCACTGTCCAGCCACACAACGAAAAGATCGCTCCTGCCGCAAAAGAGCTTCCAGCCTTAGGCTCCATTCCCACATTCAGTGGGACTACTCCTGTGCACAAAGTTAAGCACATGCTTACCCAGCTTCAGGATCTGAGCCAAAGTAAAGCCAGCCCACTCTCTTTATTTAACACTGTTGGGTTTCCCTAATTAAATATTTAGCATGGTGGGGACACAAGGCCTCTCCCTTTGCACTATCACTTTCTTTAAATACTCTGACAAAGGGGCATTGGTTTCCTTATGGAGAGTTTGTGCATTCCAACCTTGTCCAGAGTATGATCCATCAATGCCCAGAGCAAGCTGCAAGAAGCACTGAAAGTTAAATTTAGTTAAAGTTTAAAAAGTTAAACTCTCTCTCACACACTGAAGTGGGACTGCCTCCAAATGGTTGTGATCTAGCAATCAAGTCTCCAAGCCTGCAGATAAACTGTTGCCTTGTGACTTAAATAGGACTTCTCTTTTGAACCATCCGCTCTTCCAATCTCTTCACCTCGGCACCTATGTAAGAGTCAGGCGATCAACTTATTTTTCTGGGAGCATTTGCTGAACTACACAGAGGAGAGTTATTCCCTTTTTTCATCATTACCACCACCCCCCCCATCTTCACCAAAAACTGCCCGTATTAGGGAAGCCAGAGCCCCAAGAGCCTTGTTGTGCTGTGGAGCAAAAACACACCAGATTTGTTTGGGTTTTTGGGGAAAGCAATGTTCTGACCCCTTTAACACTGTTAATCCTGCTCTCCACAAGATCACCACTCGGTCTCCTGGCATGCCCGGGAAAGGGACGCTACCCAATGGATGGAGAGTGGAGCTTATGCCCAGCCCCTCTGCAGTGACTCACGCAGGCCAGCCAAGCCTAAGTGATCAGAAGGGGCTAGACGCCCTGATGTTTAGGATTTGGTGCAGGCAAGCTGTGAAACACGCCCAACTCTCGGAAAGACGAGTTTGCATTCAACCCGACGCTTAAAAAAAAAAAAAACACTCAGCTGCCAGCCAAGCACCTCAAAGCTTTTTCGAAACCCCCTTGGCCCAGAAGGGATGGGGAGACCCCGCTGCAGCAATTTCAGCAGGAGCTGATCCAAGTCTTCCCGGTGCGGGAGGGAGCCCTGTAAAAGGCTGAACCGCACCCAGCTTCCTGTGGCGCGGGCTGCGCCATGGCCAACCAGCTCCAGTAACTGGGCTCACAACATCTGGGGCGCCGCCAGGCAGCTCCGTGCCACGCAGACCCGGGGGCCGAGGAAGTTCATGGGGGACGTTTCTTGCACGCGATTGCTTGAACTTTTCGCCCACCCCGCCCGGAGTTGGGGGGAAAAGACCCATTTCCGTAGGGGTGACTCAACTCCCATGGGCTTTGCCCGGCTCAAAGGGCTGGGGGGGGGGGGTCTTAACTTTACAATCCAGCGCTAGCAGATTGCAATGCGGAAAGTGGGGCGTGCGTTGCAGCCTGGACGGATTTGCATTGGGGGGGGGGGGCGATGCCGTTGCAACACGGGGGTAAATGCAATCCTCACCCCGACACGCACTACGCCCAGCCCCAGGGGAAGGGGACCGATCCTGCCGGATACTCACTGGCTCCTCCTGGAGCGGCTCTCCCTGAAGACCGGCTGCAGGGCCACGGTGGCTTGGCCCAGGAACTTGTCCAGGCCGATGAGCGCCCGGTGCATGACGGTGAGCACCAGCTCGCAGCCCCCCTGGCCGCGGGGGGAGCCCCCGCCCCAGTCCGCCGGCTCCCCCAGCTCCAGCGCCCCCGGGGGCAGCTCGAAGGAGCATTCCTCCTTCCACTCCGGGCTGCCCGTGCTCTTCTCCACCACCGAGGTGCTGTACTTCTCCCGGCCCAGCTGGATGATGGTGTAGGCGTCGCTGGTGCCCGGCTTCCCCCCGCCGCCCCCTCCCTTGGTCCGCAAGCCCCGGGCCTGCAGCACGGTCACCTGGACGTGGGTGGGCAGCCAGCGCTGCGCCGGCGGCTCCGGCTCCGCCACCCGCAGCAGGGACATGGCTCCGGGCGGGGCGGGGAGACGCGTCCCCCGCTCCCCGGGGCGCCCCTGCGGAAGGACGGGTCTCTGCGGCGCCGGCTCGGGGCCCGCTGCAAGGCACAGCCCGGCTCCCCGGGCGAGGCGGCCGGAGCCCCGGGGGACCCGGGAGGCTCCTGGCGGGGACGCTGCAGTGCCCAGAGGGGAGAAGCTCCCCGCTGCGAGGGCGATGCGGTGCGACCTCCTCGCCGGGGAAAGAGGGAGGCTCCCTGCGGCTGCAGACGCCCTGCCCGCGGCGGCGAAGTAACTTTCCTCCCCGGGAAAAAGGGGTGGGTGGGGGGGGTGGGAACGGAGGCAGCAGCAAAGCAAATCCCCGGGCCGCCCTGCGCCTCCGACTCGCTCAGCGGCTCGCACAGCTGCCGCAACCGGGCCTTGGACCGGACCCGCCCCCGCCAGGTCCGGATCCCCTCCCCCTGCTCAGGCTCCTCCTGCCGGGGCGGTGCATGCATTGGCCAGGGGCAAAGCAAACCCTCCAGCCGCTGCGCTCCCGGCCGCTCCTTCCCCAGGCCCAAGCGTGCTCTTTGCTCCGGCTCCCGAGAAGTGCAATGGAAGAGCAACGGCGAGCCCCGTGGCCCAGCCTGGGGGGAGGGCTGGACGCCAGCCTTGCCCAGCCCAAGCGTTCCCAAATCCTGAGTCAGGCTGCACGGCAGTCAGGCAGGGCCAGTCGCTCCGGCTGTGTGGACACAGCACAAGTCACAGGGTGGCGAGAACAGGGAGCTGGAACTCTCTCTGACCGGGTCTGGCGACGCTGCCAGGTGGGAGCCCAAGCCCCACTGCCGTCCACACACAAATCAGCCTGGTTGGGGTCAGCAAGCGCTCAGGACCCAGATCCTAAGACCCCGCTAGGAGACTGGGTCAGAGTCCAAGTCCGACGGTCCCTCGGGTCAAAGCCCAGTCATTTTGCAGTGTGAACTGGGGTTGCCAACTGTCTAATAATAGCACAAACCCAAAGACCCTTCCCCTGCCCCTTCCCTGAGGCCCCACCCCCACTCCATCCCCCTCTCTCTGTGGCTCCCTTGCTCTCATTTTCCCCAGGCTGGGGCAGGGGGTTAGGGTGCAGAAGGGGGTGTGGGGTGCAAGCTCTGGAGGGAGTTTGGGTGCAGGAGAGGGGGCAGGATGCGGGCTCTGGGCTGGGGTAGGGAGTTTGAGTGTGGGCTCTGGGAGGGAGTTTGGGTGTGCAGGAGGGGTTGGGGTACAGGAGGGGGTGAGGGGGCCGCGCTTACCTCGGACGGCTCATGAAAGTGACCAGCACATCCCTCTGGCAGCGGCTCCTAGGCGGAGGGGCCAGAGGGTCTCCGCACAGGCACTGCTCCCGGAGCTTCCATTGGCCGCAGTTCCCAGCCAATGGGAGCTTTGGAGTCAGTGCTTGGGGCGAGGGCAGGGCACAGAGACCCCCTGCCCCTCCCCAGGACCCAGAGGGACATGCCGACCGCTTTTGCGAGCGGCACAGAGCCAGGGCAGGTAAGGGAGCCTGCCTTAGCCCTGCTGCACCAGTGGACTGTTAGTGCTTAAAATCTCCCAGTTTGGCTGCAGTAGCCTCCAGGAGATAGAGTGTGATTCCAGGAGACTCATGGTGAAACCGGGAGGGTTGGCAACCCTAGTGTGAATGCAGGTCAACCCAAGACCAGATCAGAAGATCTGTGTGGCACAGCGTGGACACGCTAGCACGGCTGTGAGACTCAGGTCCAGCAATTGTAAACCCAGATTTGCAATACACTCAAGCACGGGGGTTTGGAAACACTGACTCAACAAACGCAGGACCCACAGAACTGGGTTTAGAGTGCAGTGTAGACATACCCTATATGTGAAAGAAAGCATAGAGTCAAGTGAAGTAATCTTAAATGAACCAAACTGTACCATAGAATCACTAAGGATAGTAATTCAATGCTTGAATAATAAGAATATAGCAATACTGCAGACCACCTGACCAGGATGGTGCTAGTGACTGTGAAATGCTCAGGGAGATGAGGCTATAAAAATAAAAAACTCATTACTAATGAGGGATTTCAACTTTCCCCATATTGACTGGGTACATGTCACCTCAGCATAGGATGCAGAGATCAAATTTCTTGACACCTTAAATCAAAGAATCATAGAACTGGAAGGGACCTCTAGAGGTCATCTAGTCCAGTCCCCTGCACTCAAGGCAGGACTAAGTATTATCTCTAGACCAGCCCTGACAGGTGTTTGTTCAACCTGCTCTTAAAAATCCCTAATGATGGTGATTCCACGAGCTCCCTAGGCAATTTATTCCAGTGCTTAACCACCCTGACGATTAGGAAGTTTTTCCTAATGTCCAACCTAAACTGCCCTTGCTGCAATTTAAGCCCATTGCTTCTTGTCCTATCCTCAGAGGTTAACAAGAACCATTTTTTCCCTCCTCCTTGTAACAACCTTTTATGTACTTGAAAACTGTTATTGTGTCCCCTCTCTGTCTTCTCTTCTCCAGATTAAACAAACCCAATTTTTTCAATCTTCCCTCATAGGTCATGTTTTCTAGACCTTTAATCATTTTTGTTGCTCTTCTCTGGACATTCTCCAATTTGTCCACATCTTTCCTGAAATGTGGTGCCCAGAACTGAACACAATACTCCTGTTGAGGCCTAATCAGCGCTGAGTAGAGCGGAAGAATTCCTTCTCGTGTCTTGCTTACAACACTCCTGCTAATACATCCCAGAATGATGTTTGCTTTTTTTGCAATGGCGTTACACTGTTGACTCATATTTAGCTTGTGATACACTATGACCCCCAGATCCCTTTCCACAGTACTCCTTCCTAGGCAGTCATTTCCCATTTTGTATGTGTGCAACTGATTGTTCCTTCCTAAGTGGAATACTTTGCATTTGTCCTTATTGAATTTCATCCTGTTTACTTCAGACCATTTCTCCAGTTTGTCCAGATCATTTTGAATTTGAATCCTATCCTCCAAAGCTTTTGCAACCCCTCCCAGCTTGGTATCGTCTGCAAACTTTATAAGTGTACTCTCTATGCCATTATTTAAATCATTGATGAAGACATTGAACAGACCCAGAACCAAACCCAGAACTGATCCCTGTGGGTCCCCACTCATTATGCCCTTCCAGCATGACTGTGAACCACTGATAACTACCCTCTGGGAATGATTTTCCAACTAGTTATGCACCCACCTTGTAGTAGCTCCATCTAGGTTGTATTTCTTTTTGCGAATACAGACTAACACGGCTGTTCCTCTGAAACCTAGTTTGTTAATGACTGCTTCTTGGAGCAGCTAGTCCTGAAACCAACAAGGGAAGAGGCAATTCTTGATTTAGTCCCAAGTGGAGCACAGGATCTGGTCCAAGAAGTGAATATAGCTGAACCATTTGGTAATAGTGACCATACCAAAATAAAATCTAACGCCCCGGGGGCTGGAAGGGAGGGCACCGAAGCAGCCCACCGTGGTAGCATTTAGTTTCAGAAAGGAGAACAACACAAAAATGAGGAAGTTAATTAAACAGACATTAAAAGGTACAGTGCCAAAACTGAAATCTCTGTAAGATGCATGGAAAGTTTTTAAAGACATCATATTAGAGGTTCAATTTAAATGTATACCCCAAATTAAAAATCATAGTTACAGAACCAGAAAAAAAATGCCACCCTACCTAAACAACAGAATAAAAGAGGTGGTTAGAGGCAAAAAGGCATCCTTTAAAAATTGGAAGTGAAATCCTACTGAGGAAAATAGAAAGGGGCATAAATTCTGGCAAGTGAAGTGTGAAAGTATAATTAGGCGGATAAAAAAGAACATAAAGAGCAACTAGCAAAAGACACAACAATTAACAGGGAAAAAAATTTAAGTACATCAGAAGCAGGAAGCCTTCCAAACAATCAGTGGGACCCCCAGATGATGGCAATGCTAAAGGAGCACTCAGGGAAGATAAGGCCATTGCAGAGAAGCTAAATGAGTTCTTTGTATCAGTCTTCACTGCAGAGAATGTGAGGGAGATTCCAACATCTAAGCCATTCGTTTCTGGTGACAAATCTGAGGAACTGTCCCAGACTGAGGTGTCATTAGAGGAGGTTTTGGAACAAATTGATAAATTAAACAGTAATAAGTCACCAGGACCAGATGGACCCAAGAGTTCTGAAGGAACTCAAATGTGAAATTGCAGAACTACTAACTGTGGTATGTAATCTATCATTTAAATCAGCTTCCGTACCAAATGACTGGAGGATAGCTATTGTGACACCAATTTTTAAAAAAGGCTCCAGGAGCAACCCTGGCAATTACAGGCCTGTAAGCCTAACTTCAGTACCAGGCAAATTGGTTGAAACTATAGTAAACAGAATTATCAGACACATAGATGAATACGGTATTTTGGGGAAGAGTCAACATGGTTTTTGTAAAGGGAAATCATGCCTCATCAATCTGCTAAAATTCTTTGTGGGGGTCAACCAGCATGTGGACAAGGGTGATCTAGTGGATAGAGTATATTTAGATTTTCAGAAAGACTTTGACAAGGTCCCTCACCAAAGGCTCTTAAGCAAAGTAAGCTGTGATGGGATAAGAGGGAACTTCCTCTCATGGATCAGTAACTGGTTAAACTATAGGAAACAAAGGGTAGGAATAAATGGTCAGTTTTCAGAATGGAGACAGGAAAATAGTGGTGTCCCCCAGGGGTCTGTACTGGGCCCAGTCCTATTCAAGATATTCATAAATTATCTGGAAAAGGGGGTGAACAGTGAGGTGGCAAAATTTGCAGATGATACAAAACCACCCAAGACAGTTAAGTTCAAAGCAGACTGCGAAGAGCTACAAAGGGATCTCACAAAACTGGGTGACTGGGGAACAAAATGGCAGATGAAATTCAGTGTTGATAAATGCAAAGTAATGCACATTGGAAAACATTAACCCAACTATACATATAAAATGATGGGGTCTAAATTAGCTGTTGCCACTCAAGAAAGAGACCTTGGAGTCATTGTGGATAGTTCTCTGGAAACATCCGCTCAATGTGCAGCGGCCATCAAAAAAACAATGTTGGGAATCATTAGGAAAGGGATAGGCAAAATAGCCTATTGCCTCTATATAAATCCATGGTAGGCCCACATCTTGAATGCTGCCTACAGATCTGGTTGCCCCATCTCAAAAAGAGATATACTGGAATTGTAAAAGGTATAGAAAAGGACAACAGCTTTCATATGAGAACAGATTAATAAGACTGGAACGTTGAGGTTGCAAAGCCATGTACTCAAATGTTTAGAAATGCCAGAATAAAGGTTTCCATGCAGTCTTCATTCAGGCTCCT